ACCTTCAATAACATTTCAAAATTTTTCACAAAAACCGCTCCAAATTTTGGGGATTAAGTATGCGCTCTTTCAAGTCTGAGAACTCAAAAAAATAGCGGCTGGCTCTATTTCGTTACAATCGGTATTTGGGAAAATTGTCAATACTCAAATTTTTCGGTGTTTCTACAACTACAATATGGATGATAGAATATTTTTATTTAATGAAATCTATTCATCATAAACATATCTTGAAATACGTCTATTGGCACATTTTCGAAATATGAGTAGTTTTCCGCACATTTTGGGTTAAACAGGCAATTTTTAACAATTATTTTTTGAAAGATACTAGTAAAAGCGATTCTTTCAGGAAACACATACTGTGTAAAGAAATTCAATTTTTAGGACTAGTACTAAAAATTGAAAAATCTAAGAAGTGTTCAGATACATCTGTGGGTGCAAGAACAGAAAACGACAACCACTTTCGTTTATTCATCACCACTAACGATCCTCAAGGTACATTAAGTGATTTGTGTAAGTGAATTACAATAAAATGAAAGTCAGTGAGGCTGCCACAAATAGTGTTTATGTCACATTTGATAACAGTGATTTTATTTTGGTGGGTGAGATCGCGCACTTGGCTCGTGTCGCAACATTTTGCTACACACAACATAAAAATGTTACTTTTACACTCGTATTATTAATAATTCTCAAAACCGCTTAAAAGTTTGTTATTTTTTTTTTCCTCCTAAGTAGAAAGATATGTACAGAAAAATGGTGCTGGTTACAATTTTCTCAACAGAAACGGCTAGCGATGCTAGACTTTAGACTTTAAATTTAAAATATCGTATTTGAAACCAAGGTATAGTATTTTACAGCAATTATAAAAATTAAGGTTTAGGAGTTTTGTAAGCACTTTGTTGAGAAAAGTTATTATTGAGGGTGGAATTTAGATAAAAAAGATATTTTTAATGTTGTTTTTACATTTCCCATTTGAGTTAGGAAATTTAGTCAGGAACATTTAGTCAACAAATCCAAAAGCGTTTGCACTGATTGTCCAAACATACAATTACTACAATTATTTTTCAAAACGTTTTGGTAATATTTCGCATTTTTAGCAAATTGTTGAAAATATAATCATCTTTAATTACTCTTATGCGATGACAGGGACCACGTGAGTGAACTGTCCAAGAGCAGCGGTGGGATACCGGTAAGGAGGCCTATGCATGACCTTTTATACCTAGAGACCGAATAAGTTCAAAGCAGCTTGAGAGAGTGGGCAACACTGGGATCCCCCACCCACAAAAATAGGAACCTAACTAATACAGAGATATATGCTATGTGGTAGTGCTACGTGGGGTTATTCAATTTCATTTTCGGTGTGTGCGTTTTCTTTAAAATGTGAAATTTGAACATTTAACAGAAATTCTTGGATTAACACTTTTGGATTAAGGACATTTTTGTTGAACAACCATATACTATTTCATTTGTAAACATAAAACGTCTTCCTGTTAACTTGCCGAAACTTCAGAGCTTTGTTAAACATCAAACATAGTGCAAGCAAAATTTTAAAAATGTTAAGGATATTTTTAATGCTTAATATAAAACTATGCCATGAGAAAACAGTAAAAATATGCCATAACTAGTAGAAACTACGTAGATATTGTTGCCGCAAAGAAAAATAATAAAAACGTCGGAGGAAAAAGGCGATTGCGTCTTCTGTGCCAGTCCCCTATTCGAAAAGTGATGTTGGTCATACTAATATCAATAAACTTCATTCAGTGTTAACTCCAGCTTAGAGGCAAATTTGTCTTTTCAGAATTTTATTTATGCAGAAAAGAAGAATTTCAACATAGCAAACATTTAAACTAAATAAAAAATTTGAGTATTTTGAGAAACTTTTAAATATGTAGTAGCTTGAAATAAGAACGTCGAAAACTTAAAAGGATGTAATAAGTTATCAGATTGCGAATTCACCAGTTTATTGTGGAATGTCTATTTGGTGAGAACACAGTGGTAGTTTAAACGTGTTTTTTCAGAGACCAGGCTGACAAACGTCTTTACAAAGCAATTTTTCGGTAGCAGAATCCGCCACATATGTAGTGATGTATTTCCTTCAAAACCTCTGCACTATTTTTGCACTTAAATAAACTTTCTCTAATACTTCATACACGCGAAGTAGAAGGGGAATTATGTCGACACAGAACTAGCATTCTAATTGCTCGGCGATAAGTATCACAATTAATATTATAGAATAAATGGAATAATAGTATCTTTGTTGGATATTTTAACAAGTGAAATGAAGCCAGTAAAAGAAACGAAATTGGTAAATTGGATTTCACTTAAGAGCACATATGTGTGAACGCCTGACTTGCTGAACTCACCGTGCGCTGCCTCTGTGCAGCGAAAGCAGAAGCAGAAGCAGAGGCGACCAGAGTGCTCGGCATATGCCCCATGGCGACTTTCTCCTTTCGGCACCGGATACGCACTACCAACATTTATTTAAGCATAAAAGAACAACTCTTTGTAAGAGATTACTTAATCCGAATTGCCATTTAGTGACATCTAATTTGAACTATAAAAACCCAAGGGTCATATTTTGAATAGATGAGAATTATTCTCATGGAGATTTCAAAGGTTCAGATTAAATTTCTGTTGACTTTTCACATTTTTCAATTATTTATCTACGCCTCATTCTCACATTACATCTTTAAATAACATGTTTCCACGTATTTGCGATGTAGCGCAAAGGTCATCGATTAGTGCCCTTCATGGTAGGTTTTTTTTAGGTTCGCAGCACAGTTTCTGTTTCTTGTTCCCGAAAAGAGTGAAGCAATTTTTCTTTCATGTATACATGAAGTACGAGTATGTAGGAGTAATATACTAGATAGGGTAAAGGGTATGTAATGCTGTGTTAAAATCGATTTCGAGATTTTCAACGGAAATACACGTTTTGAGGTACTTGGTACTAGAAAAGTGGTTCTTTTCAAAACGTCTGTCCGTCCGTCCTGTCTGTCTGTCCGTCTGGTCTGGTACGTCTGCAGTCTATGAAACCCACTAGCGCCTAAACTATAGCTCCCGGACATTTCAAAAAATTTTTCTAAAAAATGACTCCAATTTTTAAAAAAAAATTCTTGTAAGAATAGAGTAAATAGCATCTATAAAGGTGAAACATTAGGTATATTTTCATTTTTCTGTTACTCTGATTTTCGAAAATTTTAAAAACCTTTTTTTCGGCGTTGCTGTACAACTACACATTTTAGAAAGAGATTTCTCTTCAAACGAAATTAGTTGCTCATAATTATTTATTTCATTTAAAACACATTTTTTGAAATTTTACCAACTTGTCGCCAATATTGCCCTAGCAATATGGGCCAATTATAAAAAATTACAAAAAACCATAATTTCTCAAAACGGCTTCGAAATTGTTCTTTAAAACTTTGGTGGGGTAGTGCTAAATGCCGTCTATGATATTTCATAAAATACATTATTGTGTTTCTTTTGTTTTTGTGTTTGGGATGTTGAAACTCACTTTAATGACGGTGAAGCTAATACAACTTCAATTAAGGGTAATGGAACACTGCTGTACTTCTTGAGACTGGAGGCATATTCCTCCTGCAAAGTCCATAAAATGGGAAAAATGAAGATTTTCAGGAATGTTTACAGTTAACTAATATATACTGATGCGTACCTCTTTTGAAATGTAGAGAGACTTTCTGGTCAACACAAATCGTCAATATGCAACCACGTTAATGATGAGTATCGACTCTGTATTAACGAAATAAAAATAAATAAATGTAATTAAATAATATTAATATATTATATAATATTTATTATAAATATAGAATAAAAATATAATGATAATAAATATATAATAAAAATAAATATTAAAATATTATAATAAAAATTAGTATAATTTTGTTATGCACATGGTGCAGTAATAAAAGAACAAGAAAACATTTATGGAAATTGTTCATTTGGTTGACCAAACAGTAAGAAGGAATACGGAGTGTTAAAATTAAGGTCATAAATTTCCGCTGTAACTGTCCTTTTATAATTAAAAAAAGAAGTCAGCATCAATTCACTTCTTTTACCTATTTTAAATATTTTACAAATATACAGGTTTATTCCTCTTCGTAGATATCTGAAATCAGCATCGGAACACCATGCTCGTATCTCATATTTTCAGACGTTAAACATGTCCCAAACATGTTTCACGTCATAAGTAATGTACGTGTACTTGTATACGTCCAATTTTGAAACTTTGTAGCATTTAGAGGCTAATTTCTTACGTTCGAGAACATCCAATCGGTATGGCATTACAGACTGCTCTTGTTGACCAATAAAATCAATTGAGAAAAATAAATTTTTTCTCAGGTGTGGACATGGCGTAGTGAACAATAGACATTTTTCGGAAACAGTATACTGGATCAGCGACGCCCGAATGATATGGCCATGGTCTTAAAATCGACGAATTATTTTGTCTAACATTGGACAATAAAACTTGCTGAACTCGTAATCCAGTGAGCGAAAAAATACACATTGAATTCAGTATGCGGACGTTCGAGACGCTGCTTCGGTATGGGCATACAACTCTCTTGACACTTTGGCTGATTACGGACAATATAGAAGAAGAATTAGCTGTGCTACATTTCCTCCAAGAACGAAGTTTTTTTAATATTACAAAAATTGTTCAGGGAAGGCCGACTACTTCAGACCGTTAAACTTGCGTTTCCTTGTTTTTCAATAACATTGGTTTGCAAGTTTTTGGTAACAAGCTTTGAGTTTTATCTTACGTGCCTTTTCTTGTTGGCTCCGATCTATAAAGGTGACGCAGGGTGATTCCTTGTTTTGCCTGCCAGTCATAAATGTACAGCTTCTCCCCTCTTTAGTCTCTCCCATTTTCGTCCGAATTTCTTTTATAATTTAAATTGTTTGCCCTTCAGCCTCATTTCCCCTTCTTCTTCCACTCTATGAATAGATACATGTTCGGGCATTAAAGCCACCCATCGGGCGGGATTGAGGTTTTTTCTTGGGAATTAATCGATCGCAAAAGGCGCTTAAGTCGGATGATACAGGGAAGAGGTGGCTTCACTCAGACGGTGACATTATCTATATAGCTAGTCCGAATTCACTCGCTGTGTAGGGGATATCTAGCGGCAGCTGCTCTAACAGTAGTTTTCCATAGAGATGAAATCGGAGAGATCAGTAAGACGAATGCCGGAGCAGTTCCTAACACGGGGGAAGAAGGGGGAAAGGGCGGGTTGGGGGGGGGGGGGGGGGAAAAAAAAATCTTTACTTCCTCCTCTTGTCCTAAACGCTCATCCCTTACTTCACTACCTAACACTGTTACTATACTATCATACATATGCGGAAGATAGTCGGGAGCTTAGAGCTCGTTTCGGCTGCGGGCGGGTGCCCGCTGGTGGGAGATAGCTGATTAGGGAAACCCGCTAGCCGACGGGAAGGTCGGCGCTGGGTCTCAATCCCACGCTGGGGAAGATCACCCACTTCCGAGGGGAAACATGCACTACCACAGGGTTAAGACCTTAGCAGGTGACGCCCCAAATATCACTAACCTATCAATCATTTCGGATGGGTCGGCTAGTTTTGCACTCCACACGGTAATGTAAAGCTTTGGCCCTTCTTCTTAGTATTATACCCTGAATAATTGTTTATTCAGTGGGTTAATCGAGGAGCAAGTTTCTATGGCCCAAAAGCCATCCCATAATAATGCATTATTATTAATATTATAATACCCTTGTTAAAAATTATTTATTTATGTAAATACATTAATGTTAGCAAATAATTAATGTACAAAACAATCAATACATATAGACCAATATTAATCACAATTCCAAAAACGATTTGAACTACTTTCGGACACGACTTAATAATTATGCAGATGCAGCAAACTGCACTAATATTTGGAAACACTTTATGAATATCAATTATAACATACCACTAACCATTAACGTAAAGATTCAGTAAAATATATTATCCATTAATTGCATAAAATTTTTCATTCTCTGTTAACAACAATTCTATGAATAACATAAAATGAAATAAAACAAGCCATAAACTTCGTACTTCTGTTTATTCTGATTTCATGGATGCGAAATAAAAAGAATCGAATCTCGGATAAATGCCGATTTCAAAGCTCAGTTCAGACGTTTTCTTGGGGACGCAGCTGAACGTCCTGTTTTAAAGTGTTTTTTTGCTCGCAATTTACTCGCAGTTTGGCATTTTTCACAGTTTACTTTCAGGCAGGAATTCAACACCGGGTGCAATCTAATACTAACGTTTAAAAACCATTTTTAAAATTAAATTTAAATACATTTTTTAACTAGAAGTTTAGTTGTACCGTGAAGAACTTATATCCTAATTGGTTCTTATGGCAATATGAAGAATAAAATGAAATGGATACGAATAAATTACAGAACTAAACATTCGTTAAATTATAGGATTATTTTTTGCAACATGAAAATAATAGAAGCATCCTGCATTCGCGTTCATGAATTTTTGCTTTTCTGGGCAGGGTTATAAAAGAATTATCATTAGTAATACATGAAGTGCTTGGAAAATGTCGATAAATATTCGACTTGGATGCGTGGAGAATTTCCAAAGGAGCGAGTGTATTTAACGAATCTATTAAATGTCAATAAAAGTTCAAAATGCGCCAAATTTTGAAATAATGAAAAGCCTATGTTAAAACTCGAAGAGGTATATGTTCTAGTGCATACGCTGTTTATTGGATCATCGATTAGTAACGGCAATCGATGGATAGCGCCTCCTAAGATAGATGAATACAGGTTATGGATTGGTCAGCTGGAGAAAGCCATAAGAAAATTGGAATAGTCGCCAAAAAGCGACAACTTTTTGGAGATCCACTGCCTGATTGTGCCTTTTGATGCATAACAGTTAAGCGTTTTTGATTCAATTGTTTCTAGTCCTGGGTTGAAATAGTCCTGGATGAAATTCTTCACAATATTGTTGATTTCAAAACTGATCCTCTGCGGAGAACGCGCGTCCTAGCATCTCGTCGAACGCTGATCGCAAGGAACCTCTTTTGGCGAGTGCGGGCGCGTAGACGAGTAGCCGATGATTCCAACGAGGCCGAAAGCCGCCCAAGAAGGACGCCCACGGCGATGTAGATGCCTGTCCTCGGACAGGCCGGGGCTGAGGGCAGCTCACCGCTGAACAGAAGAGCAACGATGCTTCGTGTTATACCAAGAATTTTCCTAACGATGGGATAAAGTGAGCAGATCAAAAAACAAGTGAATCACGTTAAACTTCAGAGAAGTATCCCTCGCGCGTCAGCTGTTTAGTTACGCCCCTTCGTAGGGTTTGTTTACGGTTCACGCGAAGACATCACTGACGAGATGTCTGAGTTTCGCTAGTTATATGCACCACGCGAGTCGGGAAATATAGAAATTTTTTACATAAATGGGAAAATGTCTTGGTCCAATTTGCTCACAATCGTGATATAATTGCACAAAAAGCACGAAATCATCACGAAAAGCTCCACACAGGTTCGTCCAGTTCGCCACACAGCACAGAGGCCGGAAACATGTGACCGTGGGACTACGTTATCTCACATTCAAGACTCGATTTTAAAAAACAAACATAATACTTATAACATAAAACTAAATTCAATATAATTTTTTAATACAAAAAAACGAAATTTTTTACATTAGAGCCAAAGCTTCTGCCTTCCTAATTTTAATTATTTCTGCGTGCGCACTATATTTTCGTCGGACGACGGACATACAGCAGGGAGCGTCGTGGCTTCTTAACACGTTAGGCAATGCAACGAAGCGAATGGAGAAAGGAGAGTCTATTTAGTTCAAGGACACAGTGATGTTCACTTGTTTTTTCCGATCTGTCACTTTATCCCATCGTTAGGAAAATTCTTGTATAACACGAAGCTATCGTTGCTCTTCTGTTCCAGCGGTGAGCTGCCCTCAGCCCCGGGCCGTGTCCGACGGCATCTACATCGCCGTGGGCGTCGTCTTGGGCGGCTTCGCCCTCGTTGGAATCATCGGCTACGTCGTCTACCGCGCCCGCACTCGCCAAAGAGGTTCCTTGCAGATCAGCTTTCTGGACGAGGAGATGGCGTAGACGCGCGTTCTCCGCAGAGGATCAGTTTTGAAATCAACAATATTGTGAAGAATTCATCCAGGACTATTCAACCCAGGACTAGAAACAATTGAATCAAAAACGCTTAACTGTATATGCATCAAAAGGCACAATCAGGGCAGTGTATCTCAAAAAGTTTGTCGCTTTTTGCGACTATCCAATTTTTCTTATGGCTTCTCCCAGCTGGCCAATCATAAACTGTGATTCATCTGTCTTAGGAGGCGCTATCCATCGATTGCTATATCGATGTCCAATAAACAGCGTATGCACTAGAACATTACCTCTTTGATTTTAACATAGCTTTCAGTTATTTTCAAAATTTGGCGCATTTTGGAACTTTATTGGACATAATAGCATTCGTTAAATACCACTCGTCCTTTGGAAATTCTCCACGCATCGCAAGTCGAATATTTATCGACATTTTCCAAAGCACTCATGGTATTACTTATGATATTTTATACTTTTATAACCCTGCAGAAAAGCAAAAATTCATGAAGCGCGAATGCAGGATGCTTCTATATTTACATGGTGCAAAAAATAATCCTATAATTTCAACGATGTTTTAATTCTGTAATTTATTCGTATCCATTTCATTTTATTCTGTCATTATGCACAGAACCAATTAGGATGTAAGTTTCTTCACGTACAACTAACTTTCTAGTTAAAAATGTATTTAATTTAATTTAAAAAATGTTTTTAAACGTTAGTATTAGATGCACCTCGGTGTTTTAATTCCTGTCCAGAAAGTTCAAGTGTGAATTGCCTAACTGCGAGTAAATTGCGAGCAAAAATAACACTTTAAACAGACAACGTTCCAGCTGCGTCAGAAAACGTCTGGAACTGAAGCTTTGTAAATCGACATTTTCCGAGATTCGATTCTTTTTTTTCGATCCATGAAATCCAGATAAACAGAAGTACGAAGTTTTATGGTTGTTTTATTTCATTTTATGTTATTCATAGAATTGTTGTTAACAGAGAATGAAAATATTTTATACAATTAATGGATCTAATATATTTTTTACTGAATCTTTACGTAATGGTTAGTGTGTATGTTATAATTGATATTCATAAAGTGTTTTCCTAAATATTAGTGCAGTTTGCTGGCAATCTGCATAATCATAATGTCGTCTGAAAGTAGTTCAAATCGTTTTTGAATTGTGATTAATATTGGTCTAATTTGTATTGATTTGTTTTTGTACATAATTATTTGTAACAATATAATGAAGTACGATAAATAATAAATTATTTAACAAGGTATTATAATATTAATAATAATGCATTTATTAATGGGATGGCTTGGGCCATAGAACTTGCTCCTCGGTTTACCCACTTGAATAAACAATTATTCAGGGTAGTAATACGTAAGAAGGAAGGGCAAGCTCTACATTTACGTGTGGGAGTGCAAAACTAGCGACCATCCCGATGATTGATAGGTTAGTGATATTGGGCGCGTCACCTGCTAAGGTCATTAACCCCGTGGTTAGTGCATGTTTCCCCCTCGGAAGGTGACGGTGATCTTCCCCAGCTGGATGGTGATATCCAGCGCTGACCTTCCCGTCGACTAGCGGGGTTTCCCTAATCAGGTATCTCCCACCAGCGGGGCACCGCCCCAGCCGAAACGAGCTCTAAGCTCCCGATCGATCTTCCGATATGTATGATAGTATAGTACATGTTAGGGTAGGTGTAAGTAAGGGATGAGGTTAGGACAAGGAGGAGGAAGTAAAGATCGCGCGCTCTCCGTTTGTTAGAGAACTGCTCCGGCATTCGTCTGGTACTGATCTCTCCGATTCATCTCTATGGAAAACTACCGGTTAGAGCAGCCGGCCGCTAGAATTCTCCCCTACACAGCGAGTGAATTTGGACTAGCTATATAGATAATGTCACCGTCTGGAGTGAGCCACCTCTCTCTGTATCATCCCGGCCTTAAGTGACCTTCTGCGATCGATTAAACTCAGAAAAACCTCAAACAAGATGGTTAATGCCGAACTTTATCTATTCATAGACGTGGAAGAGAATAGGGAAAATGAGCTGAAGGGAAACAAATTTAAATTAATTAATTAATTTTAATCTACGATCAAGACATTCGGAGGAAAATGGGAGAGACTAAGAGGAGGAGAAGCTATACATTTATGACTGGCAGTGCAAAACACCCCGGCGTTCACCTTACAGATCGGGAGCCAATAAGAAAATGCACGTAAGATAAGCTCAGAGCTGGTTACCAAAACTTGCAAACCAATGTTATGAAGAACAAGGAAACGCAAGTATAACGGTCTGAAGTAGTCGGCCTTGCCCTGAACAATTTTGTAAATATGTAAAAAAAAAACTACGTTCTTGGGGAATGAGTACACAGCTCATTCTTCTTCTATATTGTTCGTAAGTCAGCCAAAGTGTCAAGAAGTTGTATGCCATACCGAAGCAGCGTCTCGAACTGTCCGCAATACTGAATTCAATGTGTCATTTTTTATGCTCACTGGAATTACGAGTTCAAGGCAAGTTTTTTGTCCAATGTTAGACAAAATAATCACCGATTAAGATCATACCATATCGATTCGGCGTCGCTGAGTACCAGTTATACTGTTTCGAAAATGTCCATTTGTTCACTACGCCATGTATCAAAGGTACACACCTGATAAAAATATTTTTCAATTGATTTTATTGTCAACAAGAGCAGTCTGTAAGTGCCATACCGATTGGATGTCTCGAACTTAAGAAATTAGCCTCTAAATTCTAAAAGTTTCATAAATGTGACGTATAACAAGTACACGTACATTACTTATGACGTGAACATGTTTTTGGGACATGTTTAACGTCTGAAATATGAGTATACGAGCATGTGTTCCGTGCTGATATCAGATATCTACGAAGAGGAATAAACCTGTATATTTGTAAAATATTTAAAAGGAGGTAAAGAAGTTGAATTTATGCTGACTTTCTTTTTTTTAATTTATAAGAGACAGTTACAGCGGAAATTTTATGACATTAATTAAACACTCGGTATTCCTTCGTACTGTTTGGTCAACCAATGTACAAATTTCCATAAAAATGTTTTCTTTTTCTTTTATTACTGCACCATGTTTTGCATACAAATTATACTAATTTTTATTATAATTTTTTAATATTATTTTTATTGTATATTTATTATAATATATATTTTTATTCTATATTTATATTAATATTATATATTTATATTAATATTATATAATTATATTAATATTATTTATATTACATTTATTTTATTTTATTTCGTTAATACAGAGTCGATACTCATCATTAACGTTGTTGGCATATTGACGATTTTGTGTTGACCAGGAAAGTCTCTCTACATCAAAACGGAGTGATATATTAATTAACGTGTAACATTCTGAAAATCTTTCATTTTTTCTTATTTTATGGGAACTTTGTCAGGAGGATATGCCTCAGTCTCAAGAAGTACAGCAGTGTTCAGTTACCTTAATTTGAAGTTGTATTTAGCTGCACCGTCAATAAAAGGTGATGTTTCAACATCCCAACACAAAAACAAAAGAATACAGCAATATGTCTTTTATGAAATATCATAGACAGCATTTAGCACTACCCCTACCAAACGTTTAAAGAAAAATTTCGAGCAGTTTTGAGAAAATATGGTTTTTGTAATTTTTTTATAAATTGCCCATATTGCTAGCAATATTGGGCGACAATTGGTAAAATTTTCAAAAAATGTGCTTTTATGAAATAAATAATTATGAGCAACTAATTTCGTTTGAAAGAGAAATCTCTTTCTAAAATGTTGTATTTACAGCAACGCCGAAAATAAATTTTTAAAATTTTCGAAAATCAGAGTTAACAGTGAAAATATAGACCTATGTCACCTTTATAGATGCGTATTTTACTCTTTCTTACAAGAATTTTTTTTTAAAAAATGGAGTCATTTTTAGAAATTTGGAAAATGTCCGGGGAGCTATAGTTTAGGCGCTAGTGGGGTTCATAGACTGCCAGACGTACAGACAGACGGACGGACGGACGGACAGACGTTTTGAAAAGAACCACTTTTCTAGTACCAAGATACCTCAAAACGTGTATTTCCGTTGAAATCTCGAAATCGATTTTACGCAGCATTACATACCTTTCCCTATTCTACGTATATTACTCCGTATTTTTCTGTTACTCTGATTTTCGAAAATTTTAAAAATTTATTTTTCGGCGTTGCTGTAAACTACACATTTTAGAAAGAGATTTCTCTTCAAACGAAATTAGTTGCTCATAATTATTATTTCATTAAAACACATTTTTTGAAATTTTACCAATTGTCGCGCAATATTGCTAGCAATATGGGCAATTATAAAAAATTACAAAAAACCGATATTTCTCAAAACGGCTCGAAATTGTTCTTTAAACGTTTGGTAGGGGTAGTGCTAAATGCCGTCTATGATATTTCATAAAATACATATTGCTGTATTCTTTTGTTTTGTGTTGGGATGTTGAAACATCACTTTAATGACCGGTGAAGCTAATACAACTTCAAATTAAGGTAATGGAACACTGCTGTACTTCTTGAGACTGAGGCATATCCTCCTGCAAAGTCCCATAAAATAGGGAAAAATGAAAGATTTCAGAATGTTTACAGTTAATCTAATATATACTGATGCGTACCTCCTTTTATGGAAATGTAGAGAGACTTCCTGGTCAACACAAATCGTCAATAGATGCCAACACGTTAATGATGAGTATCGACCTCTGTATTAACGAAATAAAATATAAATAAATGTAATATAATAATATTAATATAATTATATAATTTATTATATATATAGAATAAAAATATAATGATAATAAATATATAATAAAAATAAATATTAAAATAATTATAATAAAAATGTAGTATAATTTGGATGCACATGGTGCAGTAATAAAAAAAAAGAAACATTTTATGGAAATTGTTCATTTGGTTGACCAAACAGTAAGAAGAATACGATGTTAAAATTAAGGTCATAAAATTTCGCTGTAACTGAATCTTTTATAATAAAAAAAGAAAGTCAAGCATTCAATTCACTTCTTTTACCTATTTTAAATATTTTACAAATATACAGGTTTATTCCTCTTCGTAGATACTGATCAGCACGGAAAACATGCTCGTATCTCATATTCAGACCGTTAAACATGTCCCAAAAACATGTTCACTCATTAAGTAATGTACGTGTACTTGTTATACTCACAATTTTGAAACTTTTAGATTTAGAGGCTAATTTCTTACGTTCGAGAACATCAATCGGTTTATGCACTTACAGACTGCTCTTGTTGACCATAAAATCAATTGAAAAAATAAATTTTTCGTCGGTGCTGTATTTGATACATGCGCGTAGTGAACAAAAGTAGACATTTTCGGAACCAGTATACTTGGTATCA